TGTAAGGACTTCTTCTAACTCTAATTTTGCTAATTCTTCTCTTCTTTTTCGTGTTTCTGCCTTAGGATTCTCAATACGCTAATTATTTATCACTGGTATTTCTTTTTCCTTTTCAGTATTTTTTTCGAGAATTAGCCTAGCTTGTTTGTATATTTCTTTTTTGTTCTCAAACTTTTCCTTAGCCTCTTCATAACCTTTTTTGCAATTAAACATTAATGTACACCATAAATTACCTTGTTCGAACTTTTCAGATACTTTCTTTAAGTACACATTTCTTCTAATCGACCACCTCAATGATTTTTCTTTATGTTCTGCATTGTTTCTTTTTTTTTCTTGTATTTTGTCCTTTTTACGTTACTGCCTAACAAAGTTTTTACAACTTGAAACAAGTTTTTCTTTGTTAGTAAGTATTTATACTTTTAATTTAATAACAATTTTTATTTTTTTTTATCTTGAGACTAGGTGTTAACTACTGTTAGCTTAGCTTTAATTAGGTTAGAAAGGATTTAGAATCTTGATATAGACTCAGAGTTATCTTCTTTTGCTTTAAGAATAATATCTTCTAGTGAGAAGTTACTAAAGGGAGAAAAACTAATTTCTGTAGCAGATCACATTTGGGTATCTACTAAACTTATTTGAGTTTATATTGGCAGCTGAGTGAATTCAGAATTATAATAGGAAAAGAATTTTTATTATATTAGTTTAGGACTTTTTGTAATATTATATTTCTAGTTATCATAGTCATAATGTTTCTAATAAAATAAAGAGTAAATCACTCAAGTTAAAAAAAAAAAAAAAAAAAAAAAAAAAAAAATATTGATAATTATAACCAGTGATGATCATTACCAGTATATAATTAGCTAATAAATTTGTAGAATCAGGTATAATATGTCAGGGATGGTAAATGACCTGAAATGACTTCATGACTCAAGTGAATAATGATCAGTCATTGGTCATTTAAAAATATGAAATGACTTGTAGAGTCATTTAAAAATATATGCTATATTTGCGCATAATAATGCATAGGGAGTAATTTCGAATTTCAGCCTAAATTAAGTTTAATTTGGGCTATTACTCGAAATAACATCCTGGCACGCTATTATGCACAAATACAGTAATAGATTCAAACAACAAGAATCCTTTAATAATGTGCAGTGCTTTTAAAATACAAAATGTCTGCAACTGGGTATTTTTTAATCTATATAATTTGTTTTATGTCCTGAGTTTTTAATCTGCGCGATATGAATAGTATAATTAGGGTATTTGGGCCAGGGATACGTAAAAATTTCCAAATTTTTACATGTATCTGATTTGGACTAGTAGTTATTAACTCTAAATTTTGTTATATACATATATTTAATTTTTTATTTATAAATTAATGTTAACTACAAGACCACACTAGCATATTCGTACATATTTATTTATTTATTCATGCCTAATTTAGGAATTATATAAGTATTTATATTTCAAATACTATTTATTTATTTGTACCGATCAAACTTTAATGAATTATTAAAATTCTTAAAATGCGAATGAAACGGGTGCTTCTAAAGAATTATTGAATAAATCCAATAAATTCCATTTTGCTAACAGATCATCCGCTAGATGAGTAATACGTCCACCTAATTCAAATTCAAGTATTTCATTACTTGAAGATTCATTCTGATTGAAATTATCTTCATCATCTACAGTATTAGTTCAATTTTCCACCATATTTAACTAACTCTCTTCACTAAAAACATCAGGATCATCGTTTACATCTTCAGCTGTAACCTCTGTTATTTGAGAGATTTCACTTAACTGTGAATTTTCAGAAACAAACAAATTATTATCCTCATTGTCGCTTATTAATTCTTCTTGTGTAGTGCATTGGTTATCAGAATTGTAAGGTTGAATAGGAGTTGCAAGCTGGATTCTTTTATGTTTTTGTTCAGCCTCTTCAGCTTCGTTACATTTTCACTTGCTTAATATATCACCATGCAATTAGCTCATAGCAAACACCTTGTCATGCTTAAATTAATAAACTTAACAGAATTAGCAATATAAAATTATAAACAGATTACAATAAACTAAATAATGTTTACATACTGGCATGCGATTTCAGCATTTTATATGTAAGAAACCCATCGTTGACTATAAACATTCTACTGAAGCAGAATTGATACAAATGCCAAACAATTGCAAAGCTAGTCAAGATAATTCAGGTGCTAAACCTTTTGCAGAATCCCAAAAATCAATAATATTTCCATTGAATTAGTTATATATTTTCTTATTGAAAGGAAATACTTCCTTTTGATATAACAAGAATTCACGCAAAATACATATTAGTACTTCACCAAACCAAGCATGATAATAGTAATTTAACCATTGACTCAAGTGAGAGTAAGAAAGACTAAGAAAATGTTGAGAGTCGATATTTTGAATGTAAGACAAATGATAGAAGGAGTAAGAGTTGTTCCCATTAGGCCCACTGTTTTTCTAATCGTGTGACCATGTGTTCAGAAAAATCTTCTTCATCTTTATAGTCTGCAAAAGTTTTAATGAGCTATTCGAAACAATGCATAATTTCAAAAAGTCTTGTAGTGTTTTTCTGAAGCTTATTTAGTATTCCACATAGTAGAAATAGTAAATTTTGAAGTTTATAGAGCTGAACCCAGAAATTAGAATCTTGTATTATAGATATAATGTCAGGTGAAAGCATTTTGATTGCATTCGTATTTTCTACAAATCTTTGCCGTGATCGTCTACTTCGAGAAATACTTGCTGTCCCAATTCTTGTTGGAGAAAATTTTGTAGCCAACATCTAATAAAAAAATTAATGTAATTTATTAAACTTTACTTATACATTTTATATATTTAAAAATCTACTTACTTTAAGTGCAGATTCAGTTTTTAATACAGAATAAAAGCAAAAATAAAAACTGTTCCAACACGTTTTGGCTGAAGTTGCAAGAGAGATCATTTGTCTGTAACAAGATACTTGTTCATTTCGTAATAATCTGGTAAAATATGGGGAAGAATACAACTAGCTTACAATACGTATTGTATTTTTTAATGTTGTTTTATATGTATCAGATGCCTTAAAAATGTCACCAAAAACCAAGTTTATTTGGTGTGCCATGCAAGGTATAAAAACCTTATTGGGAAATTCAATTCTTAGTTGTCGTCTATAAAAAAAAAATTTTTTTAAATTTTAAATATATAAATATCTTTAGTATTTATATTTAATACTTGCCTTGCAGCTGTATATTCCCCAGCAGAATCAGACACATAGCAATTGATTTTTATATCCTTTTCTTGCGTATTATTCATAATTTCTTTAATAAGAAGCTTCGCATCTTCTGTTCTTGACCGCTAATTGCTAATATCATGTGAATTCCAAATCAAAGCTTCACCTTGAGAAGTAATCAACACAACACCGAAAAGATGCTCCTGCTTAATGTTCGTCCAGCTATCAAATGCAGCAGTTACTCTGATTTTATCAGCACGTGCACGTTGTTGAATTTCCTCATCTAACTTTTCAGAATATCTTAGAAGAATTCTATTGCTTACTGCTTGTTGATTAGGTAATTTTAAACTTGGTGCGATAAAATGAAAAACCTCTTGTGTTTTATAATTTTCTATGAAAGTAAAAGGAAGACCATTTGATATGATCATATGTAATATCAGGTTTTCCAAATGTAGTCTATCTTTTTCAGATAGTAGACATGAAACATAACTTTGAAAATGTGTTTGTTTTTTTGGTGTACTAGTTTTTGAAACTGGGATAGAAATTTCATCTTCGGATAAAGAATTTAATAATTTATTAAGTAATTAATGTATAGACAATATAAATCAGTACTAAATATATTATATAATTATAACAGTATAGTTAGTTACCTTTGCAGCTCTCTTTTTTATTATTTTTTTTTTTTAGTGTCTTCAGGTACTGGCTGAGCAAAGATTTCCAAAACTTCAACTTCCTTATACTTAGCTTTAAAATTATGACAGTCTCTAAGATGGCTTCAGCATAGTTTCGTTTTGTTAAAGACAAAGCAGTCTGAATTTGCAAGAGCAATAGGTAAAGTGTATTTCTGCATGCATAACAAACAGACTGCCTTTTTATTGGCTTTGGGATTATCAAGCGTAGCTAAATAAAAAAATTCTTGAAAGTTGTGTTCTTTTCTATCCATCATTATTGCAAAAAAAAAAAAAAAGTTTTAGATCAAAGAAAAAATGTATTATACATATAAGATGTTCAACATGTCTAATTTCCAAATATGCTAAATTAACATACTAATACGATGCATTCTTTAATTTTATACAAAATATCTCCTGGTAGATTCTGCTCATCTTGAGAAGTAACTTTATAATCATTTAAATATTCGCTATTTACAAAAAAATCCGAAGTCCATTTTATTTATATATTTATTTATTTTTATTTTTTTTTTTTTTATTTTTTTTATTTTTTTATTTTTTTTATTTCTTTATTTTATTTATTTTTTTTTTTTTCTTGATTACTGTTGAAGTAAACTATCAATTAAGATACGATATAAGTTTATTTTACTGCCACTTTTTTCTAACCGCTAATAAAGGTACTGCTAATAAAGGTACCGCTAATAAAGGTGCTAATAAAGGTACCGTATATATTTATTTTGGGGATAAAGCTGATTAGACACTAATGCTAGTCACAATTCTCTCTTTTATACTATTTTTACAATTGATGACATATTTTTTATGCAATACTGCAATATTAAAAGTCTATTTTTTTTCAAGTTTTGGCCGGTTAAAACATATGAAAATAAAACCAGTTCCAATTTAATTAAGCTTTGCATGCATAAACTTATCTAATCTAACTGATATGTATAAATACCCAGCTAATTTTGTCGTATCACCTGATCGTAATATGCATAATGACCCAATGACCCAAATGACTTAGGTCATTTATAAATGACCTAGGTTATTTGGTCATGAGTCATTTTTAAATGACTTGAAAATTAAATGACTCAAATAACTGGTCATTTTAAGGTCATTCTAGGTCATTAGTCATTTGAGCAAATGACCCAGTCATTTACCATCCCTGTAATATGTTGTATAACAAAAACAAAGAAATTTTTTAAAAAATGCTAATATCTCAAGAATTTACCTATAAAATTACTTTTGATATTCTAACAAAAAAAATTACTTGCTAAAATTTATATATATATAACACTTTATTAAAATTCTAGGCCTCACTCTAACTCTAAAGTTAATGAACTAAAATCTTTTTGCTATTGGTTAATTATATACTAATGATGATTACCACTGGTTATTTAAAGTTAAATTCTTTTTCTTATTGATTTATAAGTTTTATTTTTTTTTTTTTAATTATAAAAATAATATGATTTTTTAATTAGTTAATTTTCATAGTAGATCTACAAAAATTAACTAATGAGGTTCAGTGACCTAGTATAGTGGTTAGGTTGTCAGACTGCTATGCAATAGATCTGGAGTTTAAATCCTACTATCGACAAATTTGAATAATTTCTTAGATCTTGTAATATATTACAGTAAACTCTATCCATTTCTAAGAATGTATCCCTGTAAATTGAGTTGTACTAAATTGATCAAAACTTAGAAGTGTAGTATAATATTATATGAATAAATCTTAATAGGATATATGAGCAGAGAATCTGTATAGTAGAAATCTAAAGTCAGTGAAGTAGTACAGCCTTTTAACAGGACTATATTAGCTAAAGTCTGATCTGAGAAGAAAACTCAGTCTAATAAAAGTAGAAGGTTTTAAGGTCTTTAGACAAAAAGTAATCAGAACTAGCTAGATACTAAAAAAGGATTAGGTTAACTAACCAGTGGAAGACCATAGTAGAATCTGAAATTGTACAAACATCTACAAGGATCTAAGCTAGATGAATTTGTAAAATGAGTATGGACTACTCTAGTAAGTTTGCTTCGAGGTTAACTAGCTCTGCAATACTGCAATACATCTGATATAATATATTCTAAGAGGACCTAAGCTATTCTGAATAAATAGATCTGTAATGAGCTAGCTAGTTTAAACAATTAAGTGTTGTAATAACATTAGATTAGATTTGTATAGGTTAATAAATAGAGTGTTTAAATAGATAACTCACAGGTAATCGTGTCATGTGCTGCATAGTAGAGATATTACATGCAAGACCAAAACTGGATAGTTTACTGGCAACTAGGAGAAATCATAGGGAATTTTCCAAAAAAGTCGAGATCACTTTAGATAATAGAAAATATAGAGAATAAAGTATGTGGAACAGAGAAAAAGCAAAAAGATTAGCAGGAATAGTAACCAAGG